TATATATATATATATATATATATATATATATATATATATATATATATATATATATATATATATATATATATATATATATATATATATATATATATATATATATATATATATATATATATATATATATATATATATATATATATTAGTAAATAGTCATAACAGTAAAAACAAATTTTTATATGGAAAAAATCTACATAAAAATAAGGCTACAACATTGAGTTTTTAGAGATCAAATTTACTTTACTGAAATTTAAACAATTGAAAATGAAATGTATTAAACTTTTATTTTAAAAAAAAACCTTTTTTTTTTTAGTAAAAAAATACCTGCGGATATTTTTTTACTAAAATAGTAAATTACAGGCAAGAACAACCTTGCTACCATCCACTTACGCATTTTTATCATCACAAACAAATTTTATTGTACCTCTAATGATTTTCTTTTCTGTCTTTTTTTAAATATATATTGTCTCATCTACAAACTTGTTGTATTGGTTAAAATCATCAAAATCAAAACAAATTAGTTGACAGGTTTAGTAAAAATTTCCCAATTTGATTCAAACCAACTTTAATTTAATGAATCAAAATGAAGACTTTCGTCTGCAGCAAAACTTAAAATAATTTTTTTGATAGTTTGCATAGTAAAATTCAACGCATCAAAATTTTTTATAGACTTTCTTTGGCAATTTTTTATTTAAGGTGCTTTACGTCAGAAGTTCACGTCCCCTTTTTCATCGGTGATGTTTATTTGGCCCGAGCATTGAATAATTGGTCTCTTAATTCTGAAACCAACGCTTTAACCAAATACGATAGAGATAATTAGTCCGCAGACTAATTATCTTGTTTTTGAGAAATAAAATTGAAAGTTCGTAAATTAACTTTTGCTTGCATTACATTCAAAAGTTTTATAAAATTCTATATCATTCCTAAACTTGTTATCAAATTAATTTTAGATCTTTTTAAATATACAGCTCGTTAATTAAAATCTCTACGCCCGGGAGGCTTCATAAGCGCGAATCGGCATATGTGCGAATTGGCATAAGTACGAACTGACATATGTGCGAATTGGCATAAGTGCGCAAAATCATTTTGCAAACGTTGGCATAAGTGCGAATTAGCATAAGTGCAAATCAGTTACAAAAACTGGCACAAGTACGAGCTGGCATAAGTGCGCCAAAACATTTTTCAAACATTGGCACAAGTGCGAATCGGCATAAGTTAAATTAGTATTTCGCACTTATGCGAAATGCATAAGTGCGAAATACTAATTTGCGAAGCTGTTACAAAAACTAACACAAGTGCGAATTGGCATAAGTACGCCGAACAAGTTTGCAAACATTGGCATAAGTGCGAACTGGCATAAGTGCAAAGTAGTTACAAAAATTGGAATAAGTGCGAACTGGCATAACTGCAAATTGGCATAAGTGCGAAATACTAATTTGCTCTTATTCCATTATTTGAAATTTTATTCGGCGCACTTATGCCAATTTGCACTTTTTTTTCCAGTTTTTGTAACTGCTTCCGGTTCGCACTTATGCCAATATTTGCAAATTTATTTGGCGCACTTATCCTAATTTACAGTTATGCCAGTTTGCACTTGTGCCAGTTTTTGCAACTGCTTTGCGCTTAAGCCAATTCGCACTTATGCCAATGTTTGAAAAATGTTTTGGCGCACTTATGCCAATTCGCACATATGCCAGTTTTTGCAACGCTTCGCATATACGCTAGTTCGCACATATTCCAATTCGTGCTTATGCTAGTTCGCACTTACGCCCCTCGCACTTATGCCAGTTTGCACTTAAGAAAGTCGCGCTTATTTGTCCCCTCTACGGCAGCTTAACCTCAGAAAATTAAAATTTTTTTGTTTCAAAAGCTTGTATTAAGCGTAAAACTTTAATTTGCGTCATTTTTTTTGTTGTTGTTGTTGATAAAAACAAGTTTTCTAATAATTTTGTTTAACCTATTATACTTTTACTTTATATGTATAGTAAAAATTTTCTTTAATTGTAAAAAGCCTTTTTTTGATTCAAACAAACTTTAATTTAATGAATCAAAATAAAAAGTTCTTTCGTTTGCTGCAAAACTTAAAATAATTTTTTTGATAGTTTGCATAGTAAAGAACGAATTCAACGCATAAAAGTTTTTTATAGACTTTCTTTAGCAATTTCTTATTTAAGGTGCTTTAAAAAAACCTCACGGTCGTGTCACAGAAGTTCACCTCCCCTTCTTTATCGGTGATGTTTAGTTAGCCGGAGCATTGAATAAAATACATTCAAAAGCTTTATAAAATCCTATATCATTCCTAAACTTGTTATCAAATTAATTTTAGGTCGTTAATTAAAAGCTCTACTGCAGCTTAACCTCAGAAAATTAAAAATTTATTGTTTCAAAAGCTTGTGTTAATTTTTTATTTATATTATTCTCAGTTATATTTTATTTATATACTACTAATATAATAATATTATACACTGCTTACTCCATAAAAAAATACACCGTATCTTAAGAAAATTTATCTTTTCAATCTTACCATAAAAGCATTTTTCAGAAAACTTAAAAGGGTTAATCAAGCTCGATTAATTTATGTGCCTTTGCTAAAATACATCTACTTTTGTAAATATAGATGTAATTTACACTTTTGTTTTAAAGCAGAATTTAAAGCAATGAATCAGCAAAACGATTATTTGTTTAACTCGAGAATTAAACGATTAATCGAACTAAGCTGAGCGCCTTTTTTGTTGATTCGCTTTAATGTAATTGCTGCTTTAAATTCTTCTTTAAAACAAAAGTGTAAATTACGTCTGTATTTACAAAAGTAGATGTATATTAGTAATGGCACCTAAATTAGTTTTCTTAATACAAAAATATCTTCTTTACCTCAAATATACAAAACATTGAAGCGATTTTATAAGCTTAAAATAAAGTTTCTTGACTCAGAAAAGAACTTTATTAGTGCAAAACTATTTATTACCAAAAAGTTTTTTTAATTTTTGGTATTACCACAATGTACAAGTATTTAAACAATGATAAAATAAAAAAAACTAAACTATTATATATATATATATATATATATATATTACAACGGTATTACAACTATGTTACAACTCTATTTTACATGTTTCCGGCTGCATAATTATATGTGTTCGGCTGCATAATTATATGATAGATAGCTTTTTAAAGCACAACTAAATCTGCAATTTATAAATACGTAATTAAATCTAAAAAAGTTTGTGAATTATACTATAGTAGCAAAAAACTGCTTATGAAACTTCAAAAAAAAGTTCACAATATTTTTAATTACAGTTTTATTAAAATTTTGTCAATTAAAAGTTACAGAACAAAAGTTAGAATTTTTAAATCTGAAACAACTAAAACAACGTTTAAAAACTTTTTAAAGTAACGAAAAGTAAAAGTGAAATAAGTAAAAACGTTTAATTTATTAAACTGTGGAAATTAACTAATCCGCTTGGATGAAAAATTATATTTCATTGTGGGGAGTTTCTGGAAAGAGATATACTTGCTCAAAGTTAGTAAGTCTTCCTTCTTTACCCCCAGTATAAACAGGATTATAGTTGTAAATTAAATAATCCTGCTCAAGTTTTGCTGACGGAAATTTGTGTGAATTTTTTCGAGATTCGTCAACAAAAAAGTTTGCAACATATTGTGCCATTCTGACAGCATTCACAGAATGAGGAAGTTGCTCGTTTTGAGAAAACTCGAAAGCATTTTTTTCTGGGTGCCATTGAGTGCCATAAAAAGGGTAGTCATAAGCTGAAATAAATTAGGTTTAGGTAGTAAGCTCATTAAATATTTTATCAAAAATTATATTTATTTATGACCTTATAGTTTTATCTACTTGAATAATAATTGCAATAAAATAATAAAATCATTGAATCAACTAAACAAACCTTCAATAGATGAAACAAACGTCAGTCCATTGACATCTTTGTTAGTAGATAAAACTTTGTAAAACGATTTGAGAGTAGATCTAACCGTGTATTCCTTAGGAGATATTCCGTATGAATGGTGATTGTATGTAATGTTTTCAGCTGATAATGCTTTAAACAAATTTTTATCAATTCCTGAGAACAAGCGACTTGTGCTTGCATCTGGAGTAAAGTTTAATGCTAAAGAGATATCTTCAGCTGCAAAGTTTGTTAACACATCTCCACTCTCGGTAGCAATTACATGAAGTGTTTCAAAGCCAAGGCAAGTCCCCCAAACAGGAAAATAATCTCCATTCTTGTTGGCTTTAATAGCAAGATCATGAAAAATTTTAGCATGTTTGTAGTACCCAGAGGTAAACCATGTTGTGCTGCCACCCGGATATAGAACTCCATTTACATAGTTGAATAATTTTGAGACTTCGTCTGCTGTCATACTAGCAGGAATAGGTACAACGCGAGCTCCTGCACTCTCTAAATACTTGACGTAAGAAGCAGCAATATAAGAGTAATGATTGTCAACTGGTGATAGTTGTGCAAGTACAGCAATAATAGGACGATCATTTATAAGTGATTCATTTGGTAAGGTAAAAACACTAAGCAAAACAAAGACCATTCCAAAAAGAGCCATAGTTTAGTTTTTTATTACCTACTCATAAAAAAAAGAAATTTAAAACAAAAATATACATTAGGTCTATATTCTCAAAAGTAAATGTGTTTTTGCAATGGCACCTAATTATATTTTAATTTTTGGTACTATTTTCTCGTGAAAAGAAATATTCTAAATTTATTTATCAACTTTTAAAAATAAAAACACAATAAATAACTTGCAAAACAACCACACTATTTCCCTTCTTTAGAAAAGTTTGTCATTCTAATTTTTTTCTAAAATTTAACTTATACCCTTATTTTAGAAGCCTATGATAAACAAAAATAAAATTTAAATGACTATGCCAGATAAAACTGATAAAATTTGATAAATGAATCAAACAACAAACAAGTATTTAAACGAATAACAATTATTTACTATTTGCAACACTCTAAATAGATGGTTTTTTGTTAATCCTTAAAAATAAAACAACTTTTTACCGCAATTTTTTTAATGTTTATTTTGTTTTAAAACTTCAGTTTTTGTATACCTCAACGACAGATAAACAGCATATAGCTAAAAACAACATTAGTAGATGATGTTTATTAACAATAACTTATTTGCAATATCATTTCGTCTTTAGTTAAAAAATAAATTTTCACTAATATCACTTGAATAGTTTATTCTTGTTATGTTTTTACAGAGATTTAAAAGAGGTTTTCATTTTACAATGTTTTTTTTTCTTAGTTATCTAATCTTTATAAATAATCAGTGACGAAGTATTTTAGATGTGAATCGAGATTGACATCAGCAGTGAAGGAGAATCTTATTTGTGTAAAGACGCTTTACAAAACTCGATTTATAAAATCATATACGGTTTTAATTTTTAAAGAAAAAATGACGCAAAGCTCAATGGGATATCTATTTTTATACTTACATGTCAGATTATAGTTCAATTACTTTAAATTACTTTCTTTCAAAACAAAATATTTTTGAAAAAAAAAATTTTAACATTAGTTTTATTTTAAAAATTAGTCAATTACTTTTTAAATCTTTTAACTAACTTAATGAAATAAAACCAATTAACATAATTATGAGTTATAGAACCTTTTATAATGGTTTTTTTAAAAAAAAATTAACATAATTATGAGTTATAGAACCTTTTATAATGGTCTTTTAAAACTTTTCTGAATAAGAAATTTTAAAAAAATTTAAAGTTAGTCCAACCGATATGAAAATAGATGTTTATAATTAAAGGCGCCTCACTTTAAACATAGATATATTAAAAGTATGGAAGAGTTTATTGGAACACTTAAGGAATAAATATTTATTAATCAAAAATAATTTAACTATGAAAACATTTATGATTCAATTAAAACAACCAAACAACCGTACTATACTTTTAACCATAATTTGACTAAATTGGTTGTACTGTCATTGGAAATAAACTTGTTTTTGAAAAGATACCATATTGTTCATATTAAGGCAACTGGTAAATTGGAACACTTTGATTCCTTAATCAGAACAGGTTGTTTCATTTAAAAAAAAGCCAGTGAAATCAACAAAAATTGATTAAAAACAATTTTTAGCTTTACAGTGAAAATTTAAAGAGTTCATTCAAAACTCATAAAAGTTTTGAATGAACTGAACTCTATAGTTCCAACCAAAGAAACTTTAGACTATTTTGTTATATCACTGTAATATCATGCTTGCAGCAACTTATAAGATAAGTTTATATTGTTATTTGCATTTTAAACCCCATTGCATTAAACACAAAAACCGTATAATTTATATCAGTATAATTTACCCAGCGCAATCAATATAGTGCGAACACAAAATTAGATCACCGAAAAAAAATTGATGCAAAAAAGTCTAATCAATGGTGCACATGCATTTTTTGAGGAATAACTTTCAAAATTTGTCAAAACGGAGAAAATAAGACGTTTTACTAAAAAATGCAAAATATGGCCCTAATTCTTTTTTTTTTTTTAAATAAATGCAAGTACTCCAATCAAGGCGCTGTTCCATTTAAGGCAACTTTTTCCTATCCATTTTAATTCTTTATTAAAAATTATTAACAATTAATTAACAATTGATGCAATAACAATTGTATTGAAACAAGCTATGTTGCCCTAACCCAAAATAATGATGATTTTTTTTTCTTCTTGATTTTTTTATATATAATATATAAAAAAAATTGCGGTAAGCTCAAAGCGGATAACTAAAGACCTCTCTCTGTGTTGTGCAAGGTTATGGCGAGTTTCATATACGCTCAGATAATGAGGACAACATTTAAAAATATATGTAAAATAAAAGTAAACTACTTTTTAGTTATTTTAAATAAATTATAAACTATATTTATCCTTATTTATTATTAAATTATAAGTAGCATTATCCTTATTTATTATTATTATTGTTCTAATCATTATTTTTGTTATTACTATTATTATTATTACTATTATTATTATTGCTATTATTATTATTATTGTTATTATTATTATTATTATTATTATTATTATTATTATTATTATTATTATTATTATTATTATTATAAATATATTTCAGACAACAGACTTATACAACTTAAGTGCCTCCCAGTTAACCATTCCAACTGGGTCCCATCTGAGACCCAACTAGGGAAAACGCTAGGACCCATCTGGGTATCCCACATGGGTCCCATTGTGGTTTTGTCAGTGGGATCCAACTGGGTCTTATCTGGGATTAGTCTGGGTTATTGATGGGAAATCCCATATTGAACCCAGATATTTTTTTCATTTACCGCGGATTTTCTCAATTTTTTATAGTTTGTTTTTCGCAGATTTTTTGTATCTTGAATATGTGAAATAATATGACAATTATTTGATTAAAAAGCGTCGCATTTTTTATACTAAACTAAAAAGTAAAGATTATATATATAATCTATATTAAATTCGCTGTCAGGGCTATAAAATGTATTAGGCAAATGAATATTTGGTCTGACATCTTTACAAATCGATTGAAAAAACAGATTTAAATTTCATAATATTTTTAAGCAACAAAAAACTAATATTATACAATAATTTGATGCAAAACTCTTCTACGATAGTAATATTCTGCCACATTAGTTGTCTCAAAACGCCACCAAAATTGCATGACAAAATTCTGCTTTAAGTTTATCGTTTTGCTTCTTTAGTGCTTTTATCTACTTTTACACCAACTTTATGAATTAAAAATAAACATTTGAATAATATAATAATTTATCGCATATATATTTACAAAGTATAGATAAAATTATTTATTGATAATATTATTTAGGGCATACCATGCAGTGTTTGCCATACCATGTTATATAACTAACAAACATTACGCAAACAAAAACACACGTACAAATCACAAGCTAACTCAATACAATATATAAATCGATATACATGTTATAACAATAACCAGATTGAAGTAGAGGCCCAGGGCAGGACAATTAACTATTTACTTAGTTTGTTGTTACAAAAATAACAAAAATAAAAAAATAAAATAAACATAACTTATATATTAAAATATAAAAATAAAACTGGAGAACTGAACTGATATGACACCATGAATAACGGTGTTTCAACTTCTTTAGTTGCCAGTTTTAAAGGTTCTTCCTTGTTTCTTTTTAACAGGCATCTTGCAGGGAATCTAAAACAATGTTATTTTACTGAAAGTGTTTGATGTTATTAATTAGGCATGACATAAATAGACCTGTAAACAACAATAATATAACATGAATACTCTGTTACCATTTAAAATTTAAAGTCTTGACTCAAGTCAACCTGACATCAAACCCTTAAATCAGTTGTTGAGGGTTTAATACCTTTTATATCATTTAATAAATGTAAAAATAATCAATATCACTAACATTATAAAAAATAGATAAAAAAATAAATAAAAAAAAGCATAACTTTTGAGTGATTGTCAAATGTTTTATTAGGTTAACAAAATACAATCTTTAAAAACATTAGGTATCAAGTGATTTATCATCCAAGCTAAACTTTAATTTGGTACAAATTATGTCAGCAGCGGAAAAAATCTTTTGGAGCGACTGAACATTGCAAAGAATGCCATAGGATATTCGATTGACTGCATCCAAAAACTTTATCTATAAATGACAATTATAATGAAAGAAAAATAAGGGAATTGCCTAAAATTAATGATGCGCAAACATTTCAGGAGGTTAAACAATACCCGTTACTACTGAACAGGGATAACGGGGTAAAAATTACTTCAAATAGTTAGAGACGATGTTTAATAAAATCATTTTAAGAAAAAACAATTTTTATTGACGTCATCTTGGTAATAACTTCTTTATGGTTTTTAAAATTTTATTTTGTAACGGTTTTTAAATATTATATTTTATATATATATATATATATATATATATATATATATATATATATATATATATATATATATATATATATATATATATATATATATATATATATATATATATATATATATATATAATAAGTAACATAATAGTCTATAATAGTAATTTTACGTTTGATGACAATAAAATGACATTATGCCTGTAAAAATCAGACTGAAATATCTCATAAAAAGAAATTTAGTTAGTACGCTGCTGTTTTTATGTTTTATATCTTATTAAAATAACAAATATATTCTATCAGCGATAATGGAAGAAATATACATGATGCCTAAAAACTTAAACGTTCCAACAAAACCCAATCACAACGGGATTTTTGTCCGATCCAACATATTCCCATTTAACCAGTTTATTTTTAAACAATTTAGTTAAAGTGTTCCATGCACAAAACTTAAAAAAAAAATACATTTAAAGAAAGACAAAATTTTACTTAGACGTTATCAAACTATTCCATTATCTTTTATAATACAAGATCACAGTTAATAATACAAAAATTAAAAAAAAGTTTTAATAAGTTGAACTAAAATTAAATTTTCATTATTCATTTGATCCAACAAAAAAAAGATTTTAGTTTTTCAAGTCATTATAACTTCATGGTTAGTATGGATCCTTATAATGCCTACCAAGCTGTCCAAAGAACGCCACTTATACGGAAAGTTAGCGTACACATCAAGGTACCCTGTGAT